CCAAAAAAAAAAAAAAAAAACCAAACAAAAAAAACAACAACCCAAGGAGAGCTCTGGTGGCCTAGTGGCAAGAAGCTGCAACTACAATCCCAGAGGTGCACAGTTCAAATCCACCAGATGCTCTGCCGGGGAAGGAGGGGCAGTCTCCTCCTGTACCAGTCAGATCTGATTTGACGGTACACACACACAAAAATAATAATAATAATAATAAAAAAAAAACAACAACCCACTGTCTCTATCCATCAAGTCCATTTTGACTGATGGTGACCATCCATTGGGTTTCCTAGGCTATAAATCATAATAGGAACAGACTGCCTCATCTTTCTCCCACAAAGATGCTGATGGATTCAAGCTGTCAACCTTTCTGTTATCAGCCCACTTATATAACCCACACACCACTTGGGCTTCTGTATTACTCACTCGTTGCTGCCAAGTCAGCGCTGATTCTTAGCTGACCCTCCAGGTTTTTCAGAGGCCGTAAATTGCATGGTAGTAGATTGCCCGTCTTTTCTTCCACAGAGCAGCTGGTGGATTTGAACTGCTGACTTCAATTAACAGTCCAATATATTACACTTATGTGTGACAACAGTGACCATAAGTATGTTGAAGATCATGACAGTGACAGGATTGGGCAAGGTTCAGATTTGTTGTTCATAGTTCACTATGCAATTGTAGTCATCTTGTCAGCACCAAATAACATCATGCAACTAATTAAAATAGTAACTTCACCTATTAATTGGAGGCCTTTGGACTTGAACTTGCCAAGCCTAATTTCTGTGTCTGAAAATGAAGCTAATAGCATATGAAAGGTAGCACGCTGTCAAGATTAAGATCACAGACTTATTCGGCTCAAAATTAGTTAGCTATTGCTTATTAAATGACCTGAAACACATCTTCTGGCCTCAGTCTTCTGTCTGGACAGTGGGAGCAATGACTATATTTACTTTATGGCATTGTTGTGCGCACTAAATGAATCTCAACAGCACTTAGAATGGCCTGACAGGTACTTGAGTGCTCACCAAGTAGATGTCTGGCTCCTTTAATAATTTTATGTGATCCTGTATGTTGCCTGGCCCATAGAGTGAGTGTGCTTTCACTTTCATTGTCCTATTAGGCTCCAAATCCTTTGTGATTTTACTGGCTAGTGGGTTAATGGTTGCGATTCCCGGGGAAGCTGGCATCTTCCAGGTGTGTGGCTAAGGGGAAGCTTCTAGAATTAGGTTTGCTTTCTAGACTGAGTTATATACACACTTCAGTCTCCTCATCTGTACAGTGGGAATGATGTCTGCCCTTTATTGGGTTTCCACAAAGGAGAACTGTCCCCATCAACATCACAGCACAAAATCAATTCTCATGAAGTCAGACTTATCCCTCATGCTCCCACACCCCTTTTTATTCATCCTAGCACCAGTCGTACTGTTCTACTGGATCAAAAATCTGTTGTAATAGCTCACAGACCACACAGAACTATACTAAGGAAGTCAAATGGCTTTAATTTAGGTTATCAGCAAGATATAATCACTCAGTCAGCTGAAAGGTGCTAGAACATGCACCTCAGCCTTCAGCCCCATGGCTTTAAGCTATTGTGACAAAGCTCTCAGTCCTGCCAGTTATGTTTCTCCCCCACCAGTCTGCCAGCAAACTTGGGCAAAGTCTGTTAGCTCTGGTTCTGTGGGGTATAGCACTCTTAAGGTCAGTTCCATCTCATGTTGGGTCTCCGGTTGTCTGGTGCAGCCACTGCTCTCCTGTAGGTCTGACTGGTACAAGAATCTCTGACCCTGAAGGGCATGCTGCATTCTTTTGCTGCTTTACTGGTAGTGAGATTTTTTCAAAACCTGCCGCTGATTTGGCTCAGTTTAGTGGTAAGACTAGCTATTCCCCTTGTGGATAGGCTAACATGCCCTATTCACACATTCCCACTCATCCACTGGGCAAAGTCAAAGTCACTGGCTAGGAAAGCCATTTTGAATAGTAAACATGGGAGGACATTGCCCATCTTCTCCCATAGAACTGCTGGTTGATTTGAACCACCAGAGAGATGCCACCTGTGGGTTAACAGTGCAGCTCCCTAAGGACTAGGCTACCAGGGTTTCCTTTATGGCCCTAGTTGTCTAAATTATTCAGACCTGCTATAGCAGAAGTATCACAGATGAGTGGCTTTGAAGAAGTTTTATTTTTTCATACTCTAGAAAGCTAGAAGAAGGCTTTAGAACATTCATTCTGAGGGAGGAGGGCTTTCATTGTCAGCTCTGGAAGAAAGGTCCCAGCTCTTCAGCTTCTGGTTCCTGGGAGGGCTCTGTGTGCCTTTAGCATCTGTTTTATCCCATCTCGCATCTGCTCATTTGTTTAATCTCAGAAGAAATTGATTCAAAATAAGTCTTACACTAATCTGGTCTCCATTAACATAACAGAAACATTAACATATGGGATGATCCATGCGCATAGGATAGGATTTGCAGCACATTTTAAAGGGCAATAAATCAATTTACCACTGGACCAGTTGGTAGCATCAAGACGGATGGCGAAGAGATTGAGATTGTTCACAGCTTCAGTTTGCTCGGCTCCATGGTCAACACTCTTGGAACCAGCAGCCAGGAAATCAAAAAACGTATCGTGATGGGAAAGTCTGCTGTTAGGGACCTCTCTAAAGTACTCAAGAGCAACGGTGTGTCTCTGGAGACTAAGGTGCGCCTGATACAGGCCATGGTCTTTGCAATCACTTGTTATACATCAGAGAGTTGGACAATGACTAGGAAGGACAGAAGGAGAATTGATGCCTTTGAGCTGTGGTGCTGGAGAAGAGTATTGAATGTACCATGGACTGCCAAGAAAACAAACAGATTCATCCGGGAGAGGGTTAAACCAAGCTACTCCTTGGAGGCAAGGATTCTGGGGCTTCGTCTGACATACTTTGGGTATGTTGCAAGGAGGGACAGGTCCTTGGAGAGGGACATCATGCTTGGGAGGGTGGAGGGACAGTGCAAGAGGGGAAGACCCTCTATGAGATGGATTGATTCAGTGACTGGGGTAATCGAGATGGGTGTGTCAGAGGCAGTGCGATTGACACAGGATAGAGCAGGGTTTAGGGCTGTTGTGAGTCGCAAACAACTCGATGGCACATAACAACAACAAATCAATTCATAACATTCCACCCCATGGTCCCCAAAAATCACATCCTTGTTACTTACAAAATACATTCACCTCTCACATCATATCTCTCTCTCTCTCTCTCTCTCTCACACACACACACACACACACACACACAGACACTCTGTCTGAATCCTCTAAATGCATGTGGGTGAGACTTTAGGCCTGGCCTGTCCAATCCTGAGGCAAAATTCCCCTTCAGCTGTGAACCTGTGAAATCTCAATTACAAGTTATGTTAATCTGTTTCCAAAGAACAATAGTAGAACAGGCCAAGTTAGACATTTCTATTACAAATAAGAGAAAGTGGACAGAGAGAAGGGATAACAGGCAGGCAGCAAGTACAAAGCCCAACAGAACAATTTATTTTAAATTCTTTTTTTATTTAATTAAATGGTTTTTACTAATGATTTTTTTTTTTATTAATTTCAACAAAAGTTTACAGAGACTTAGGGTTTCTATTCATTCATTGTTGCATAATTTATATAAATTCTTGAGGCTTGAAAATAATCCTCTGTTCTCTGGTCTATCTTTCTATAGCCTCGTACTCTGGAAGTAAGTTGCCAAAAATCCATGTTGATCTGACTTTTAGAAACCTAAGCGCCTGTGGCCCCACCTTGGAGATCCAGGAGGCAGTCATCCCACCCTTTGAAACCAAGAAGGCCCAACTACCCAAGCTGCTTCCAGTAGTTCTCTGATCGCCATGCTGCCCTGGGATGGTTCTTTTCTCGGAGGACAACAGATATAGCTCCTTTGGTTTTTCTCCTGCCCATAGAATTCCAAAAGGCAGACAACATTCTTTCCTTTCTTCCTGACTCTGCCTCCTTCAGTCCAAGCTGGTAGATTTTCTGCTGTGGTAGTCAGTTGGGATTCCTCAGCCACAGGCTTAATCTCTTTAACAAACAGTTGTGCAGCCACGTCCTCAGTGAACATTCTAGGACACATGTCCTAAGTTTTGTACACCAAAATTTTCCAAGAGTTTTATGTTCTGTTTTTCATTTTGTGCAGTTCATTTTTCAAGTGCATTTCTTTCCTCTTGGCATTTTACAAGCTGTAGGGAGAAACCACATGACCACATGATCTTGCTTAGACATCTAATCAGCTCTAAATATCTGAGTTCATCACTTTCAGGTTCTGCCTTCCACTCAAAATTTGAACATAACGTGGATAAGTTCTTTGCCACTGAATGAAAAGCATTGCCTGCTCTTTGTTATTCAAGCATATGTCAGTATTTTCTTTTAAAACTTCACCAGAAGCACATTTAATGTCTGTTAGTAGCAACAGCCTGTTGACGGTGCTATGTATTGTCTAAGATGATAGAGACTATCTCTTTCACTTCCTTCTGAACTCTCATGAAAATTACCTTTGACACCCATAATTCTTCCAGTCTGATTTGGTAGCAGCCCAGTGTTTTATTCTACCATAATTCTAAGAGTCTTTTTAATGCAATCTAGGCTCTGATTACTAGATTTTTACATTTTAAAATGGTTTTGGTATTTAAAGCTTCAATTAAGTTTTAAAACTTAAAACTGCCTCTGGAATTGGAATTTACCCAGTTCTAAAACTGTGGAAGCACCACAGTTTCGCTGTTATAGCAACACCCCACTCCTGGTACTAAATTCTGTCTTAGTTATATAGTGCCACTCTAACAGAAATAAAAAAGTAGGGGGCTTTAACAAACAGAAATTGGCTTTCTCTAGTTTAGGAGGCTTCTTGGTGTTTTGCGCCTTCAAACCTGAACCAACTCATAGCTGACCCTCCAGCAGATTTTCAAAGGCAATAAATTTTACAAGCGGTGATGGGCCATCTTTTCTCCCAAGGAAAAACGTCCTACCTTTGGGTTGGCACTGCAACTCCTTACCGTTAAGCCACTAGAGTTCCCTTTGGGATTCAGAGTGCCTGCTCTAGGGGAAGGCTTTCTGTTGGCTCAGGAGGAAAGTCTGTGCATCTCACCTTCTCCTTCTTGGTACTTTGGTGATCTGTATGTGTCTTGCCATCTTGTTCTAGTTCTGTTCTGCTAGCTTTTTAAATCTCTTTTATATATCAAAAGAGATTGAGTCAAGGTATACCCTACACTAATCTTCCCTCTTTAATATAACAAAGACACCCCATTGCCATAGGAGATTATAACTGCGGCCTAAAACCCATTTCCTGGAGTTGTTTCTGACCCACAGTGAACCTGGAGGACAGAGTCGAACTGTCCTGTAGGATTTCCAAGGCCGTGTATATTTACGGGAGCAGACTGCCTTGTCTTTCTTCTGAGGAGCAATGGGTGGATTTGAACTACTGACCTTTTGGTTAGCAGCACAGTGCTTAGCCTACAAGTGCCAGCAGGGCTCTTGGGATTTATAACACATATTTTTGGTGGACATAGTTTCATCTGTAACATGGGGACACGGCCGTCCACGGGGCCCTGCCCTCCTGGTTTAGAGTAGGGACACAGAAAAGAAACAAGCAGGCGAAGATGTGAGCACAGTGGCTTCAATTAGTGGGCATTGCTAGGAAGAAAAGAAAGATGACAATGTGATGTGGACTGATTTTCAGATTGGAGTGTCAGCACCTCTGTGGAAGGGAGTTAGCTAAGGCCTGATGGATGAAAAAGAGCCAACCATGGGGAGCTCCAGAAACAGAGCTTCTTTTGAAAATTGTGATTTGAATGAAAGTTTACGAAGCAAATTTGTTTTCCTTTTAACCAGTCAAACAAATTCAAGCCACGGGTTGCAATTCTTAAAGATAGTTTGGGTAGAATGTTAAATGATTCAGGAAGTATCAAAAGAAGATGAAAGGCGTACCCAGAGTCACTGTATCAAAAGGATTGGCTGACACAGAGGAATTTCATGAAATAACATATGAGCAAGAGCCTGTGGTGATGAAGGAGGAAGTTCAAGTTGCTCTGAAGGAATTGGCAAAAAACAAGATTCCAGGAGTTGACAGCATACCGTTTGATTTATTTCAACAAACAGACACTGCCCTGGATGTGCTCACTAAGTTGTGCCAGGAAATCTGGAGGACAGCCAGCTGGCCAACTGACTGGAAGAGATCAATATTTGTTCCCATTCCAAAGAAAGGTGTGGAAATTATCAAACAATATCATTGATATCACATGCAAGCATGATTCTGCTGAAAATTATCCAAAAACGTTTGGAAAAATAAACACAGAGAACTGCCAGATTTGCAGGCTGGATTTAGAAGAGGTTGTGGTACTAGGGATATTATAGCTAATGTTAGATGGATCTTGGCAGAAAGCAGAGAATACCAGAAGAATGTCTATCTGTGCTTCATTGACTATCCAAAGGCTTTTGACTGTGTGGATCACAACAAGCTATGGCTGACTCTGAGAAGAATGGGAATCCCAGAACATTTGATTGTGCTAATGTGAAACCTATACTTGGACCAAGAGGCAGTGGTCAGAACAGAGCAGGGAGACACTGGATGGTTCAAAATTAAGAAAGGGGTCTGGCAGGGGTGTATTTTGTCTCCATACCTTTTCAATCTGTATTGCAGAACAGATCATCCGAGACGCTGGGCTCTACGAGGAGGAATGTGGCATCAGGATTGATGGAAGGGTCATCAACAACCTGCGTTATGCAGATGACACACCCTGCTTGCTGAAACTGAGGAGGACCTGAAGCGCTTGCTGCAGAAGGTCAAGGACTGCAGCCTCCTATATGGATTGAAGCTCAACATCACGAAAACAAAGATTCTCACCACTGGGCCAATTGGCAGCATCAGCATGGATGCTGAAGAGATTGAGATAGTTAAGAGTTTTAGTTTGCTTGGCTCCACAATCAACGCTCTTGGTAACAGCAGCCAGGAAATCAAGAGATGAATTGCATTGGGAAAGTCAGCTGTGAGGGACCTCTCGAGTGTACTGAAGAGCAACGATGTCAGGCTGAAGACTAAGGTGCTCCTGATCCAGGCTGTAGTCTTTGCAATTACGTGCTATGCATTGGAGAGTTGGACAGTGAATAGGAATGATAGAGAATTGATGCCTTTGAGCTCTGGTGCTGGAGAAGAGTGTTGAATATACCATGGACTGCTAGGAGAACAAACAGGTTTGTCCTGGAGAGGGTGAAGCCAGAATGCTCCTTGGAGTCAAGAATTCTGAAGCTTCATCTGACATACTTTGGGCATGTTGCAAGGAGGGACTGGTCCTTGAAGAGGAACATCATGTTTGGGAGAGTGGAGGGATGGTGCAGGAGAGGAAGACCCTCAATGAGATGGATCGATTCTGTGAGTGGAGTGTGGGAATGAGTGTGTTTGAGACGGTGAGGCGGCACAGGATAGAACGGCATTTAGAGCTCTTGTACATAGGGTCGCTATGAGTCCCAAGCAACTCGATGGCACATAACAACAAACAACAACAACAATATAATCACACTCTTCCCACTTCCTCCCTGTGATTCTCATTTCTGTCAACCCTCTGTCATACCCGGTAGTTCCTACTTTCTGGGCTTTACCCAGGTGCAAATGCTATTCTGTTTACCTATAGTTGATTATTCTAAGAGGTGTTATTAACACCTCCCTGATGCTATTGGCCCCATATAGATTTGTCTATTATTTGAATGAAAATTGAGCCATAGAGGTGAGTTTAGTTTCAGATTGGAAGGGTGACTAAGGTCCATAGTCTTGGGAGTGTTACTAGTTTCTATGAGATCAGTAAGCCTGGCCTTTTTTAGACTTTTTTCACATTTCTCCCTACTCTATCCAGGATCTTCTGTGATCCCTTGGAGAGCAGTCAGCCATGGTATCTGGGCAGGAGCAGAGGGCCTTGACATGAGAATGAGCTCGGCACTTTGTAGACTAGAAATGGGAGCAGAGAGTCTGGAGGAGGAGGAGGAGGAAGAGGCAGAGTGATGGGAGAGGAGAGCACAGCCAGGCCTGCCATGCCTGTGAACCATGGGCGCTGGGAGGTTGGGGAGCAGGGTGAGGATTAATAGCCCAAGAACCTAGATTAAAGTCTGTATCTAAAGTGATTAGACAGCAGTTAGTAAACACTGCATTTTGCTATTATTATGAACTCATGGAGAATGGAATTATTCTCAGTATCATTAGTCTTTGGTCCAGGCCTTTAAATATGGACTTGGAAGAGTAATAAAATGATAAGGAACTTTTACTCAGTACTCACTATGCCCTCCTAAATAGTTTGTGTGTATGAGCTCATTTAATATTCTCAGGAAACTTTGAGAAATGCAGTTTTACACCAATTTTATAGAAATGAAGACTAAAGCAGAGAAAGTTAGGAAAAAGGCAGTGCTAGGTCTTGAACTAGGCATTTGCCTTCAGAGTCCTTGATTTAAGCATTATTGTTATACCCATTTTACAGATGGAGAAACTGGGACAGTCAACTTATTAAAGGTCACAGAAGCAGAAATTGGATTTCAAGCAGGCATTTGACTTGAGAGTTCTTTTAGGCGTTGTTATTATTATTATACCCATTTTACAGGTAGGAAGATTGAAGCAGAGCAAGACAACTTACTGAAGGTCACAGAGGCAGGAAAAGGATCAGAGTGATGGGAAATATGAATTCAGGGTCTGTGTTTTTAAACACCTGCTCCTGATAATTAGTAAGGAATGGATGACTGTAAATACTATGACACTGACCCTTCCTGCCCCATCTGACTGTTCCTTCTCTCCCTGCAGGAGCAGCATGGAAGCTCTTGTCCGGCCTGCGGGAGGGCCAGACGCAGGTGGACACCCCTCAAGTGGGGGACATGGCCTACTGGTCCCATCCCATTGATCTACACTTTGCCACCAAAGGTCTTCAAGGTAGGTTCCTGGGCCAGTCTGATGGGAGGGAGCAAAGACTACCCAAGCTGCTGAGATGAGAACACCAAGTTCTGACCCTGTGCTTCACACCTGCCAATGAGAGACTAAGGTGGGCTCTAAGGGATCCTTTGTGAGGGACTGGGGCCGAGGCCAGAGGTGGAGGAGCAGGTTGGGGCCAGGATAGGAGGGGAGATGGTTCCCAAGTGAAGGGATAAAAGGAAGAGTCTTTGATAAGGAAGAAACTGGAGTTAGGCCTGTGACAGATGGGCATTCAGAGACACAGATAGGTGAGGGCTTCTTTTCAGGGAGGATCCTCAGCTCCGGCAGAAGCTCTGAGGGGACATGAGTGTGAAGGGAGGAGGAATATCAGAAAACATTGTGGTGGAAAATGTGAGTTAAAGAAGAGGAACAGATTCCAGGCCTGAGAAATAGCCTAGTTAAATGTGCCGTTTATTTCAACAATATAAATAACAGTTGCTGGGTGCCTGCCCAGTGTCTGGACCACGTTAGACGATGCCAGGAAGATGTCAGTGAGCAAGACAGTCCCAGCCCTGTCCTCATGAGGCTTACTATAGAGTGGAGGAGACAGGTCTGTCCCCACCTAGTGATGGCTCAAGGAGACAGGGCTGGGATGGACGGTGGGCTGAGAACAGTGGAGCCCAGAAGAGGTGCTTGAGCCTGTCGGGGAAATCAGGGAGGGCTTCCTGGAGCAGGGGGCATTTGAGCTTTAATGTGAAGGGCCAATAGGAGCTAATGAGGCAGAGGAACAGAAGAGAGTTCCTAGGCAGAGAGAGATGTGAAAGGCTAAAAGGGAGAGTGAGTTAGGGACATTGGAAGAACATAGAGAGTAGGAGGGTGGCAGGGAATGGGGGACAGGCCATGCAGGGCTAGAATAGGAGAAGACACCATATGAAGGCAGTGGGGAGCCAGAGCAGGTGATGGACAGATCAGTTTTCGCTTGAATAAAGAATTGTGCTGTCAACTCAGAGACAGACTGTTCAAATCTTCTCTCCTGTGATTTTGAAAATCCACTAGAAGGTCAGCTTTGAGTTGTTTCCTACTCGATCACAGTGAGTTTGAGTTTTCTGCCTGCCAAGGGGCCGGCCATCTAGTGAGCTCTGGTGGACTAGTGGTAAGATGCTGTGCTGCAGTCCCAAAGGCATGTGGTTTGAAACCACCAGCTACTCTCGGGAGAAGGATGGGCAGTCTCCTGTGTGATTTACTGCTTCTACAAACCTGTTGTATGGTCAGCTATGGGTCGGTTCTGACTCAAAAGTCCACAGCCATCGGTTGGGAGGGTGAGATAAGCAACTCTGTCCCCCAGTGTTGGCATCGTCCTGACCCCCTCTTGTCTCAGCCCTGCATACTGTCTATCAGAAAATCAATCAGCTCATCCTGTCCTGTGTACTGCATCCTAAATCCTACCAGGTCTTAGACCCTTCTCCCCCGACACCAGATCTACCCCCCTTCATCTCTCACCTGGACTGTTACAGCAGCCTCTCCCTGGTTCCCGCTGACACTCAGTTCCAGCATATGCCGCCGATGGGATCCTGTGACACCCAAGTCAGATCATGTCCCTTCTGCTTAGAACCCTCCCTCATCTCCATCCCACTCAGGGTAGAAGTCAGTCTTACCATGGTGTAATAGATCTCAAGTGGTACTGCAGCAGATATACCACAAGGGGATGGCTTTAACAAACAAATTTACTTTCTCACCTTTTATGAGGTTTGGATTTAGGGAGCTGGCTCTAGAGGAAGGCTTTCTCTCTTTCAGCTCTAGAGGAAGGTCCCTATCTCTTCAGCTTGTTCTGTCTTCCCTTCTTTCTTACTAGCTTGCTTGTTTAATCTCTTTTATGATTCGGAAGAAATTGACTCAGGATGCAGCCTGCACTAACCTTGTCCTCATCAATGTAACAGAGAATCCACTCCCGACGGGATTATAACCACAGGAATTGTTGCCACCTCATAGCAGCTCTTTGTACAACAGATCAAAACCCTGCTGATCCTGCACCGTCCTCTCCATCTCTGCTCTGCTGAGGTGCAGTCACAGTGTCAGTTCTTCTCCTCAAGGGCCTTCCTCTCTTTCACGGACCATCAACTTTCTGAGGCATGCTGTCTTTTTCCAGGGACGGGCCCCTTCAGACAACATGCCTAGAGTATGTGAGACAAAGACTCCCCTTCCTCATCTCTAAAGAGCGTCCTGGCTACACTTCTCCAAGACAGATTTGTCTGGTCTTTCGGCTGTCCATGGGGTAGTCAGCTTCCTTCACTAGGCCACAGTTCAAATCATCAGGTTTTCGGTCTTCATTTTTTTACTGCCCAGCTTTCACACACAAACACGATACAACTGAAAATCTCACGGCTTGGGTCAGTCTTGACACCAACAGTCTTATTCTTTAGTACTTTAACAAGATCTTTGGCGGGCTGAGGTTTCCAATACGTATTTGGATGCAGAGGGATGCAATTAAATCCATAACACACGGTTGACAGGGTGCTGCATGATCTGTCTCTCCCGTCCTCCTCCTCACTCCCTGGCTCACTCACTTTATTCTATCCAGCTCCACTGCCCCCCAAAGCATGCTCCCATCTCAGGGCCTTTGCACTGGCTGTTCCCTGTGGTGAACATGCTTTTCCCCTGGATGTCCACATGACCCACGTTCCTCTTTAAGCCTTTACTCTGATGTCACCTTCTTAGTAAAGACTTCTGGGCCACCCCTTTGTAAAGCTACATCCCCACCTCTATCCTAGCCTGCTTAATTTTCAGAACAGTTATCAACATCTGACATACCCTATAATTTACTTATTTACGGTGTTCTTTGTCTAGGATGTCAGCTTCTCCAGGGCAAGAATTTCCATCTGCCTTGCTCATGCTGGATTTTCCAGCTTCTAGGAATGGGCCTGGCACAGAGCAGGGGCTCAGAACGGAGGGTGGCATGAGGCCAGATCTCCAAAGGCCTTGAATGCCAGGCTGAAGAGTCAAGCTGTATTTGGAGGGCACTGGAAAACCTTAGGAAAAGGGGAGAAAGAAGCTCCTGTTGGCCAGGAGGAAGGGGGATTAGAAAGACAAGAGAGGGGGTCTGAGTCCAGGGCTAGGCTGTGGGAAGGCATCTAGGACAAGGCTCTGATGTCACTTGGTGTTAATCTGGGGCCTGCGAAAACAGTGTGGCTGCCTTGAGATGGGGACACAGAGGGAGTGGCCACAAAAAGGGACATCACAGACACCTGGAATGGTCTTGAATGTTGAGGAGGTTGTGGTTTCTACTGAGGACGTTAGGGAGCTGTGGAAGGCCTGAGATCAGAGGAGGAGCATAGATTTAGAAAGATCCCTTTGGCTGCTCTGTTTGTTAGGTACCTTCAAGTCGGAACTGACCCATAGCTGACCCTCCTGTGAGTTTTCAGAGGCTGCACGGGAGAAGACTGGCCCATTGTTTTTCCTGCAGGAACATCTGGATTTGAACTATGAGCCTTTGGGTGGGCAGCACAAATCCTTACCACTGTTGTTGTTGTTTTGCACCATCAAGTCGGAACCGACCTATAGCTGACCCTCTGGTGGGTTCTCAGAGGCAGCTAATAGAATGGGAGGAGATTGCCCATCTTTCCCCCACAGAGCAGCTCGTGGCTGGCCTCAAACTTCATGCCTTCAGGATTGCAGTGCAATTTCTTGCCACTAAATCACCAGTGTTCCCTTGACTGCTGCATGGAAGTGGAGAAAACTAAGGAAAGGAGGATAGGACAAAACCTAGGTACAGGATTGGGGGGAGTAGACTGGAGTCTCTAGTGGGGATCCAGGTGGTGGAGGCTAAGCTATGCACTTGCCAGGCTGGCCAGCCATCTAACTCTCCTCTCTCCACCCCTTCCCATCCTGCAGGTTGGCCCCGGCTCCATCTCCAGGTGTGGTCCCAGGACAACTTTGGCCGCTGCCAGCTTGCTGGCTATGGCTTTTGCCATGTGCCCAGCAGCCCGGGCACCCACCAACTAGACTGTCCCACGTGGCGGCCCCTGGGCAGCTGGCGAGAACAGCTGGCACGGGCCTTTGTGGGTGGCGGGCCACAGCTGCTGCATGGGGACACTATCTACAGTGGGGCCGACCGCTACCGTCTGCACACAACTGCTGGTGGCACGGTGCACCTCCAGCTCGGCCTGCTGCTACGCCACTTCGACCGCTATGGTGTGGAGTGCTGAGGGACTCCCGCCTCCGGCATCTGCATCCTAGAGACCTGAAAAGGGTCAGGCCCAGCAGTCAAGAACATGGAATGTGGAGTTGCTAGAACTGACTGCCACCATGGCATTGTGTGGCCACTGCCCTTGCTGAGACTTGAAGCCGGTCACTGTGCCTCTAAGCTTCAGTTTTTATATCTGTAAAATGAGGGCTGTCAGGAGGGTGGGAGTCACGGGGTTCCCTGAGAAGCCATATATGTAGCACATGAGGAGGCGGTGCTCAATAAAGGAGAGTGATTCTTACAGGTGTGTCTGGCTTCATGTGCCCTTCCATCCAGTGCATGTCCTGCATACCCTCCTCCTGACACTCTTCCTCAGGCTCCATCTTCCTACAAGCAGCTTCCCTCCAGTATCTGCCTAGCCACCTCCAGCTCCCTCCCTACTCTACCTTTCTTCTGACCCCTGACTCCCCATATACTCCTTTCTGACTCTCTTCACTTCCCCAGAACCCCCTCTTCTGACACCTTCCTCCGGACACCTTAAACTGAACACCTCAACTCTTCTCCAGAAGACCCCTCTGGCACCCCTTCTTCTGACCTCCTTTGACATGACTCCTTCTCACACACCCCTTCCACACATTCCTCTCACCCTCCACCCCTCTCACACACACCCCCTCTGACACCAACTATTGCTACATGTCCCCTCTTCTGACATCCCCACCCCTTCTCTCCCATTTACCCCTCATCTGACTCCCCTAACGCTTTCAGACACTTCAGATTTTTATCTCCTGAATACCACTATGCTCCTCTAACTCTCCTCCCACTTCTCTGGACCCCCTCTTTAACGCCCTACGCATTCCAGATACCTCTCTTCTAACTCTTCTACCAAGACCCCATACCAAACCCCCTTCCAAAGAGACTCATCTACACAGCCCTCTCTCAGGGGCACCCCTCCTCCAGTCCTTGCCCCTCCCAGGCACCCCTATTCCCCTTCTGACCAGCTATCCCGGTTTTCTAGCCTCTGACGGGCACATTCCCTTCTACCTTCTGACTGATCCTCTCCCTCTCTGCTCCAGCCTCTGTCTCCCTCCTCGCTCTGGGTCCCTGTCCTCCGATCCTCACCCTTATGGCCAGCTGGTCCTCATTCGGGGACCTCGCACCCTGGTTGCCGCTTTGGTAGCGCTCGGCCACCAGGAGGCAGCACGCTGTCGGCGGGGCGGAGCCGGGGGCCCACCCCTTCCCCCCCAGCTGGAGGGACCCCCCTCGGAGCCCGCCCACGCGAGAAGAGGACGGTAGCCTGCCCCCCCACGCCTTCCCTCCGGGGGCCGCTCCCGCCTCGCGCGCTTCCTGGGTGGGGCCCGGGGCGGCTTCAAAACCCCCTGCCGCTCTAGCCGGTCCCCGCCGCCGCCCTTCGCTCCCCGGGCCGAACCCCTCCCTCCTCCCGCCGCGGATCCGCCAGACAGCGAGGCCCCCGGCCGGGGGGAGGGGGGACGCCCCCTCCGGGCACACCCCCCCCCCGGCTCGAGCCGCCGCCCGCGGGGCCGCCTGGGTCCGCCGCGGAGGAAAGAGCCGCCGGAGGCCCCAGAGGCTGAGAGCAGCCGCCGCCGCCCCCGCCGCCGCCACCACCGCGGGGAGGAGGGGGAGGAGGAGCGGGAGGAGGGACGAGCTGGTTGGGAGAAGAGGAAAAAAAAGTTTTGAGACTTTTCCGCTGCCGCCGGGAGCCGGAGGCGAGGGGACCGCTTGGCTGGCCCCAGAGGAGGCAGGCCTGGGAGCTCGGGACTGTCCCCCTCGCCTCGGACGCTTGCTTCCTCATCGCCCCCCGCAGCGTCCCCCAGCCGCCCCATTCCGGACCAGCCCTCAGGAACCGCGAACCCGGACTTGCGCGAAGACTTCGGGCGCACGCCACCCCATTTCCCTAGCCGCTGGCCTGAGTCCCGGAGCCCGGAGGAGACAGGCTATCCCAGAACTGCCTTAACTTCCCATTTCAAGGCCACCTACGCTCAAGTTGCAGAACTTGCTGGTCTTGGTTTTATCCCGGGGGATACCGAGCCTCCCCGTCCACCCCGGTCTCTTCTCCCTGAGGGCCTCAACTTTCCCCCCAAGACCCTCCTACACCCGCTGGGAGACCCCCAGCCCCTACAGGGGCTGGGCCTCCCCCCCATCACCGTACGCGCGCCCGGCAGTGCCGGGGGGACGCCGCCTCCCCCATGCCGCCCTCCGGGCTGCGGCTGCTGCCGCTGCTGCTGCCGCTGCTCCGGCTCTTAGTGCTGACGCCCGGCCGGCCGGCCGCGGGGCTGTCCACCTGCAAGACCATCGACATGGAGCTGGTGAAGCGGAAGCGCATCGAGGCCATCCGCGGCCAGATCCTGTCCAAGCTGCGGCTCGCCAGCCCCCCGAGCCAGGGGGACGTGCCCCCCGGCCCGCTGCCCGAGGCCGTGCTCGCCCTCTACAACAGCACCCGCGACCGAGTGGCCGGCGAGACCGCCGAGCCCGAGCCCGAGCCGGAGGCGGACTACTACGCCAAGGAGGTCACCCGCGTGCTCATGGTGGACAACAACCACAGTGAGACTGCACCGGCGGGGGCGCGGGGCGGGGAGGGTCTCGGGGAGGAAATGCGGCCGAGAATCTGGCTGCGGGAGCAGCACCCCAGGGCACGGGCTCCGGGGGGGCCCCGGCGAGGGTGGGGCTGAGCCCCTCGCGGGTGCTTGTAAAAGTGTAGCTTCTGCTTCGGTGTGTCTGAGCTGGAAACTCGAATTCCCAGCCAGGGGGCGGAGAGGGCTGCAGCCGAAGCCCTGGGAGACCGAGCTGCAGCGGGAACACGCGGACCCGTGGGAGTGTCCGGGGGAGGCGGAGGCTGGGCCAGGGCTTGTGGAAGAGGGGGCTGCGGAGAGGAGGGCTCGGTTTGGGAGAAACAGAAGAGCTCAGCTTTGGGGAAAGGAGGCAGATGCCTGGGGAAGGAGTGAGACCTCGACAAGAGGGGTCGTTAGGCAGCAAAGGACGGGTGGGCCGCCTCCTGGGAGCGCGAGGCTTGGAGTTGGGAGGCTTCCCGAGAGAAGCAAGGCGAGTGTGACACATGCCGGGAGAAAAAGCCTTTTCTTTAAGGGAGAAGGGTCTCAGGGAAGAGCGTGGACACCCCGCTGGAGATGCGGGAAGACACGCGGGGGGAACGACCCCCCGAGGAATGGAAATGTTATAACGAAAGGGGTGTATGAGGAAGAAAGACAGCGTGGGAAAGGCGGGTCGGGGACGGAGCGGGCAGACACGGCCAGCCCCCTGTATTCCACAGGGAGGGAGTTAAAAGAAGGGTAGAGCTTTAAGGGAGAAAACGGCGGGGTGGGTGGGGACGGCTGTCCGAGCCGGGGAGCCCGTGGGGCGGGGGGTGAGGGCCCCACGTGGGCGCCACGCGCGGGGGGAGGAGCCGCGCTTGAAAGGGGACCCCGCGGAGGCCAGAGCTGGGAGTCAGGACCTCGACGTCTCGGTTCCCCGCGGGGAGGCTGGGGAAACCCCGGCGTCCGGTAGCCTCGCCCTGCCTTCCCTTCCTGTGCCCCCGGGGGCGGGGAGCGCGGAGCCTGGGGCGAGACGGGACAGGTCGGTCCCCGCCCTCCCGCTGCGTCGCCTCCGCCCGCCCTGCTCACCCCCGCGGGGGGGGGGACGGCCCGCCCGTCGGCGCCCACGGGGACCCTGGAGCAGGGGTGGCCTGCGTGGTCCCGAGGCGGACACACACACACACACACGCTCGGTTTTCCGCTTGCTCAGCGCGCTTGTCAGTGCCTAGTTTTGCAGGTCCCTCCGCATAACGTGCCCCCTATCTCGTTCTGGGCTTGCGACTCGACCGGGTCATAACAACAGTATGTTCTCTACTTTTCCGTCCATCTTCCTTGTAGAAGGGAGCTCTGGTGGCTCAGTGATAGGAAATTGCGTTGTCAGTGCAGACGTGAGCGCTGCTCCGCGGGAGGGAGATGCGGCAGTCAAATCCCCTGCGATTGATTTACTTACTGCCTCTGAAACCCGCTGAAGGGTCGCTATGGGTCGGTCCAGACTCCATGCTCACAACAACTTACTTGTAGAGGTTTTCCCAGTACCTTCTCTCCTCATCTTTGTCTTTCACTATCTCTCCCTGAACTCCAACCTCTGTCTATATCCCTCTCCCAGGCTCATCCGTTATCGTTCTTTCAGTCTGTGCCCTTCTGTCGCTTAAAATTCCCCTCATCCTTTTACCACCCTGTGGGTCTCTCTCCACGTGTTACGATCTCTCCATCTTTCTCTCTCTCCCAGTATCTGCGGCTTTCCCCATCTTTCCTTCCCTCTTGGATTACCCTGACCTTGCCTGGGCCCTCTTCCTCTTCTTTCCTATCGTCCTTGCCCAGCCCAGACGCTCCGCTTCCTTGGGATATGCTGAGTAACGATTGCGCCAAGAATAGGGTTGTGTTGAGGTGGGAGGCCCGCACTACTCTAACCGGGGTTGAGGAGCAGGGCGAGCAGCACCTCTCTCACCACAGCCTCTCTCAAACCACCGCTCACCCTCCAAAGAGGTGTGTCTCATGTTTATCCAAGAGGTTTGTTATCCCTGCCCTGGGACACCCACCCAGGACCTCTGAACTTTCCTAGACTAGAAAACAGTCTTGCTAGTTTCCCTTCTCCCTCTGCAACAATTAGTACCTAGGTATGTGTCATACATGCTCGTGGCTTAGTTGTATCTCTGCGTGGAAAGATCAGTGGTTTGAATCCACCAGCTGCTGTGCAGGAAGATGAGGCATCGCCTCCCATAAAGATTTACAGTCTGGAAACTCCAGTGGAGGGTCGCTATGAGTCAGAAACCAGGGCAGTGGGTGTATTTTTTTTTTTAATGTATCATGAACTTCACCTTCTTTAACCTGTTTGGGGAGAGAGTTAAAGGAGGAAGCAGTTAATACTAATAATAACAGTAGTCATTTAGCAGAAACTGCATAGCCTAGGGGTTAGGTTCCCAGCCTCTGCAACCTGAGGGCTTGGATTTGAACCTCCCTGCAGCTTCCTAGTTTTGTGCCTCGGGGGAAATGGTTCTATCTTTTTGTGCCTCAGTTTGCCCGCCTACAAAATTATTATGATGAAATGTTCATTATAAGGTAGTTGTGAGGATTAGCTATTTTTGTCTTTGTGAGGAACTCAAAAAGCCCGCTGGGGTTCCATATAGCTTGTTGTGCTGTTAACAGAAAGGTCAGCAGTTCAAATCGACTAGCTCCTCCCCAGAATAAAGATGAACAGCCTCCTGCTGTTAAGATTTGCAGCCTTGGAAACCCTTTGAGTTGGAATATATTGGAGAGAGTGGCAGTCTTTGTGAGAATACAGAGAACTCTTTAACACACATGCACATTATTGAGTGACTCCTGTAAACAGGCTCTGTGTGGTGTGCTTTGCTTGTATCATCATCTCACACATATTTTGCACTGTGATCCTGGAATGCCTCTTCATTTTACAAATGAGAATCTGGAGATCAAAGGGAGAGATTTGCTTGCTTGAAGGTACACAGAATCTAGCCTCTGTGTAGGTGAGTAGGAGAGTCTGGATTGAAAGGCAGGGAGCTCAGTGATATTGCCTGTTTCCCAAAGAATGACCAGATGAAGGCTCAGAGATGGGCTGTAGCTTGCCCAATGCCACACAGCTGGTAGGCTGCAGAGGCATTGGTCAGGGAAGAATTGTGCTTTGTTGAGTTTTCAGGGGCTGATCTTTCCGCAGCAGATTGTCAGGCCTTTCTCAAGTTAACTGGTATTTAAAGCTTCATATGCTGGGGAGGCCTAAGCAAGTTGATCAGCCCCACGTGGTGCCAGTTCCTGGATGGGCCTTTTTAGATGGTATGGTGTCCTGGTGGTGTAGTCTACCTGTCAGAAGGTAATGGAAAAGTCAGTGTTCCTCATCCAACAGCCAGTCCCCTAAAGCAAGATAGACAATCTGCTTCCTTAAAGATTTCTCAGAAAACACTCATTGCAGCTGAGTTGAAACTGACACATCACTGCCCATTGAGCAAGTTTGCAGAGGCTAAAAAAACCACACAGGAGGAGATGCTCATCTCTCTCCTATCGAGCATCTGGTGGATTTGAGCTCCTTGCCTTTGAATTGGCAGCTCACCTCTTTACCCTCTAGGCCACCAGAGCTCCCTACTGTAAAGATTTACAGCCTTGAAACCCAGTGGAGCATCACTGCGAGTTAGCATAAAACTGAAGGCCTTGGACTTGGTTATAGATGATGCTTGGTAGGAGAGGAAAGTGCTTAGGACCCATTTTACAAATGAGGACACTGAGGCTCAGGAGAAGCCAGCATTCACCCAGTGTCACATGATATAAAAGCTCATACCCAGGGCTGTCTCTTCTGAAGCCCACCTCTTAGACTTGGGGCGCACCACCTCCCCTATTCCTGCCAAACCCTTGACATCCTTGGTCTGTCTGCTCTTTCCCTCTAGAAATCTACGACCCATTCAGGGACGACTTAAAGCGCAGCCTGTATATGCTCTTCAACACGTCAGAGCTTCGAGAAGCAGTGCCTGAACCCGTGCTGCTTTCCCGGGCAGAGCTGCGTTTAATGAGGCTCAAATTAAGCGTGGAGCAGCACGTGGAGCTGTATCAGGTGGGGCCGCACAGGTGGGCTGAGCTGGGTGGAAGCAGATGGCCAGGTGGGGTCCCGCAGGTGGGCTGAGCTGAGCAGATGGTCAGGTGGGGCCATAGAAAGGCTAGTGAACTCTGAAATAGTCTAAGTGTGAAGGATGGAAGCGAACAGACCATAGAAATTGTAAGGCTCTGTGAAGCTTTCAGACTTCTTATTCTAAATGTTACATACTTGTATGGTTCGAAATCTTAGAAGGCAGATTCTAAATATTCAAGATTCTTTTTTTTCAAAATTCTTTTTCACTCAAAACTCATTCCCTTAAAACAAAACAGAACAGAAGAAAACCAAAAACCCCTAATTGCCTTTGAGTCAGAACTGACTCATAGCTGATCCTCCAGCAAGTTTTTGGAAGGTAGTAAGTCACATGGGAAGAGATTATCTATCTTTGTCTTGTTGAGTCACTGGTGGATTCGAACCACCAGAGAAATGCCACCTTTGGCTTAACAGCCAGCCAGCTCCCAACAGGCTACACCACCTGAGCTCCTTTCTGGTTTTTCCCAAGAGACTGTAAATACGCAGGGTGCTGTGGTGCATAGTCTCGAGGGGCGTTGCACTGCTAACCCGGAGGTGGTACTTCTCTGACAGGTCAAATCCACCAGCTGCTCTGAGGCAGAAAGATGGGCAGTGTCCTGTGCAATTTACAGCCTCAGTCACCCAGTGGAGGGTCAGCTGTGAATCAAGTGTGACTCAAAGGCAATGAGTTTTTGGTTGTTTATTTTTAATATATTACTGGTGTGCTTGCGGTCATTCATATACAGTGGCAGTGAGTTTTGAGTCTAGAGTAGTCAGAGGTGGTTTTTGTTAGATGCGGATGAGTCATGGATGACTTGGCAGTAGCAGCCTTCTGAACAACAGATCTGAACCCGGTCCTATCCTGTGCCGTCCTGTCGTCCCTGACACACTTGAACCCATTGCTGCAGTCGCTCTATCAATCCATCTCTCTGAGGATTTCCTCACTTCCCATGACTCTCCACCTTTGGATGCCTTGAGCTTCAAAGATGTCTCACATATATTTTGGGCATGAGAAGGGCTGACCTCTTCTGAAAACATGAAAAGAACATACTTGGAAAGGTGGAGAGTCAGCGAAGGAGAGATGGGTTGACACAGTGACTGTGTGAGCACAGTGGCGGCTCTGAAGAGGGCGCAGGTCTGGATAGGGTTCTAGTCTGTTAGCGTTAGAATATCTCTAAGTTGGAGTCGCCAGAGCAGCACTTCACAACGGCAGCCTGAAGAACGTTCCTCTCAGCACAGCAAGTTCTGTTGGACACCGTTGCTGTGGAAGATTGAAGAGTGTCCACAAGGATTCCAGAGGACTAGGGTCTCTGAAGGGGAACTAATCTCTAGAATGTTCTCTGACCTGGAACCCTGCCATATTGAATGGCATATTAGAGCATGCAAAGTTTTGCACGCTTCTAATCAAAAAACCTTGTCTAACCTTACCTTGTTTGAGGCTCAAGAAACCTTTTTTACTCTCAGCCCCTAGAGGGTTAGATCTGCGGCTCTGGAGAGCCACACATTGGTACTTCCACTCGCTTCGTGTACCTGTAGAGTTGGACAATGAGTGAAGAATACTGAAGAAGAACTGATATGCTTTGGATTGTGCTCTTGGTGAAGACTATTGAATATCCCATGGACTGTACAAAGAACAAATAAATAAGAAGCACTGCTGTCTCACGTGCCTTGGACATGCTGTCTGGAAGGGCTGGTCCTTAGAAAAGGACTTAGAAAAATAGACGGTCCCTGAACGAGAGGAAGACCCTCAATGAGCTGGCTTGGCACGGTGACTACAGCAGTGAATGGAAGCAGGAGGGGGGCACAGGGCCAGGCAGGGTTTTGATCTGTGATGTACAGAGGGTCACTATGAATTGGAGTTGACTCAGTAACACCAACAACGCCATGTCTAGCCACTCTAGAGTCTTGGCAGAGGAATCATAGCATCATGAGTTGGCCAGGCTGTCTTAAGTTTTTACCAGTGAGGCAGGCAGCTGAGGCCCTGAGAGGGAAAGAGAGCACTCATGGCCCCAGGAGACAGAGGCTGAGCTGTGAGAAGTGTCTCCCCCTAAGCCTGGGGGTGCTGTGAGATGAGAAGTTCCAGTAGGACCCCATGGTCAGGATGTCTGTAGTGGTTAGTGGGTGGGTGAGACTGAGGGTCATTTTGGAGGGAGCTGGTGATAAGGGGCCCCCCGTCAGCATATGTAGGGCGTGATGCCATTGACTCAGTGTCTCCCTTTTCCATTTATGGTCGCCCAGAAATACACCAACAATTCCTGGCACTACCTCAGTAACCGGCTGCTGGCCCCCAGTGACTCTTCGGAGTGGCTGTCCTTCGATGTCACAGGAGTTGTGCGGCAGTGGCTGAACCAAGGAGGTGAGCTCTGCTTGCCTGTCCCTCCCATCTGTCCCTGTGAAGCCACTGCATCATCTGTCCTGGGATCCCCTGGCCTAGCACCTCCCACACTCCCCGAAGGGTATTCATGTCAAAGAGCTGAGACCTGCCCTCCTTCTGGACATTCAACCCGGAGGGACTAATTGATTAATTCATTAATGGTTAATAATGTATTTCCTGAGCATCTGCTAGTTGATGTGAGGGACATAACAAAGACTGGAACGGCTCCTGGGAGGGCGGGCGGTGAGAGGCAGGAAGTTGATGTGTTGGATTCGACAGAGATGGAATTGGAGGCCCAAGAGAAGGCAGCTGACCCAACCTGGAGGTCAAAGAAGCACTTCCTGGAGAAGGGGGCATCTGAGGTTATCTGAGGGATGAGTAGACTCAGGAAAAGAAGGGACAAGAGTGCCTGGGGCAGAGGGAACTGTGTGCAGAGGTGAGGAGTTTGGAAGAGTCTGTCCAGAAGAGAGAGGATAGGTCCCATTCGAGGTTCAATCCACGAGGCCCATGTCTCTTCCTCCCCTCTCTCATTCATGCATTCATTCATCATTAAATGCTACCAGGTTCTTCCTCTGTGTGTCTGGTGGTGTCAGGGACTCTGTGATAACCAAGTCCTGCCCACACAGGACTAATAATTACTTCTAGAACCCTTGGATGTTGTCAAAAGATTTCAGCACAGAAGAACCAGATTAAGGGGATGCAAAGGGGTCAGGCCAGTAAGGGAGTCACAGGTGGAGAAATCAGGGCCTGGTGAGGGAATCCTTGATGCTGTGGAACCCTCGAGGAGACCCCAGATCCCATGGGGGTGGGTCCTAAAGGACTTCCTCAGTGACATGAGTGACTCATATGATAAGTTGCAGTTTGTCCAGATGCAAAGATGGAGAGTAGATTCAGGCTGAGATTAGTGTCCAGGGTTGTAAAAAGAGCAAGGGCCATGACTGTGTCTGACCTCCACTAATTCCCCAAGGGGGACTACACCTATTGTGATCATCCACAGCATAAAACCAATTCCCATGCTGCACCTGCCACTCATCCTAGTGCCATTCTTCCTGGTCTGCTGGGTCCAAAATCTGTTGCAATAATTCACAGAGCACATGGAACCATATTCAAAATTATGGAGTTTCTTAGGGAAGGTAACAGGATACAATTTCTCAGTCAGGACCATTTCCAAAGTGTGCTCACAGGATCTTTAGCCTCATGGCTTTAGGCCAGTGTTCCAGAGCTCTTAGTCCTGCCGGTTGTGGTGTCTTCCTCTCAGTTCTCCAGCAAGCTTGGGCAAAGGCTCTTAGCTCTGGTTCAGTGGGGCAGCCAGCCCAAGGTCAGGTCCATCACATAGTAGGTCTCTGGTTCTCTCTTGCATCTACTGCTACACTCCTGGAGGTATGACTGGCACAAGAATCTCTGGCCCTGAAGGGTTTACAGGACATGCCTACTTCTTTGCTGGTGGTGACATTCTCAAAACCTGCTGCTGAATCTGTTCAATTTCATGGCAAGACTAGCCAATCTCCTTGTGGATAGGCCAACATACTTGATTCATATGTCTCCACCCATTCACGTGGCAAAGTCAATGGCTAGGAAAGCTATTTTACTATAAACCCTTAATGTGAGGAATGTTAGGGTCCCATCTAATAGCTGGACAAAGGCCTTGGTCTATGGGTTGGGTAGTAATGAGCCCTGCTTTGTAGAGGGCCTGACGCACAGCAGTTTAGGGACGATCATGTGTCCATCCTAGAAACATTTCTCTCCCATCAGCCAGCCTCTGTTCCCCTCCACCACCACCCCACCCCCGTGTGCCTTATCTGCTGGTGAGGATTAAAGGCCAGGCGAGAGCAGGGCAGCGGCACCCAGCACATGCTCAGTGCATGCTCACTTCAGTGAATGTGGACCAGACCCAGTGAGGGGACCAGAAAACCCAGTGTACATGTCCCACACAGCTTGCTTTCAACTCATAAAATCCCAAAAATAACCAAAGAGAAGGGTCAGAGAGGAAGAAAGTGGAAGTGAGGTGGAGGGGGGAGCGTGGTCCCAGGGCCACCCTGAAGCGGGCTCTTAGACCTAAGACAAGGAAGGAAGGGGAGAGCCTGAGAAGAGAGGTGCAGGCTAAGGGAATGGTGAGTGGAGAAGCAGGAAGGGGCCCTGTGGTCGCCTCGACCTTCCTCTTCCTCTGGGGCTGAGTGAGCGCCCTCTGACTAGCTGCCTGTCCACACTTCCACAGGGGATGTAGAAGGCTTTCGCCTCAGCACCCACTGCTCGTGTGATGACAAAGACAACCAACTCCTAGTGAAGATCAAAGGTGATGCCTGTGTCCCTGGGCCTGCCTGTCTGCCTGCCTGCCAGTGTCCTAGCCTTGATCTGTCCCACTGAGCTGTACTTCCCTGGCCTCCCTCCGTCCATCCTTTTGACTGTGTATCTGTCCCTGTGCCCCCTTACCCTTTCCCCCCAGCCATGGTGCAGAGAGTGTGTGTTACCACCTCCCATTGGTCCATCCCTCTCAGATTGTATCGTCTCCCTCCATGAATCCCAGATTGTGTCCTCTCCATCCCCTTGAGTCTGTCCTCCTCCCCCATAGAACTGTCCCTTTGAGTATGTCCTCTCCCCCCATGGACCCACCTCTGTTAACTGGGTCCCCTCCCCCATGGACCCACCTCTGTTAACTGGGTCCCCTCCCCCATGGACCCACCTCTGTTAACTGGGTCCCCTCCCCCCATGGACCCACCTCTGTTAACTGGGTCCCCTCTCCCATGG